TCTCGCATTACTTCCATGTTAGTTTTTCTTCTGTGTCCATGCTATTCTAAGCATCCTCCTGTAACACCACATTTCAGAGGACTGTAGCTTATTTATGTATTCATGCCTCAATGTCCAGCTTTCAAGTTCATATTGCAGTATCAAAAACACGTAGCACCTCAGTGCCCTAACTCTCAGTTCTATATCTAAGAGTTGTTGGAAAGTCAGAAAGAGTTGGAAAAATTAGTTCTTGACTTCGAGCTTCCCACGTAAGGATAACACATTCAGCACATTCATTTTCAGAAAGGATTCAGCACATTATAGTGCTGCAAAATATCTTTCAGGAAAGCCACAGCGACATACTTATTTTATTTGCCAGGAACTCTAAATGCTTTATTGCTTCTTGGGTATTCAAGTTTTCTAAGAAGTTTATTTCTTATTTCATTTGCCAAAAATGTTTAATCACTTGACCTTTACTTAGCCAAATAACACTGTTGTGTTAAGGTAGGTCAGTTGAATTACACTTAGATGGAAAAACTTTGACCTGCCTGTGTTGAAGAGCAGAAGGAACGCCTCACAAAATTAATCAACTTAATCAAAGTGCTCATTATCTCTCTATGAGTGATCACTAAGTTTCCCAGTAGGGATGGCGGTTTTTGACAAAACACCGGTTTTCGGTTTATACCGTTTTTTTTGCTTACGGTTTAACCTGGCAGTTATAACCGGCCCAAAAAACCGGTTTTTCGGTTTTTTTTAATCTAATAGATTAGAAAGTTACATTTACAATGCACTTTAGTTTGCGATACTACATTCGACTCGATATCAATATGATCAAAATTAGTACAATCGAAAGAACATCAATATCAATGTAAATACAACACAATTTTTTGTGTTTTGTGAGAAAAAAATTCCCAACAAAAATTTCCAGACTCTTTCAAATGGGATTTAAAGAAAATAATATCAACATAAATATTTTACTTAAAAATAAATTGGATAATGCAATTCATCTTTTATTTTTACTACCATCAAAAAAAATTATCATGTATTACTTTTAACTCATTTATGACTTCCGGTATAGGTATAAATCGTTTTGAAAACGTAGGGAAATCCTTGGAGATTCGTATTCGTAATCGGTAATTCAATAGTTCATAGTCATTATTTTTGGTAATCAGAAAAAGCCATTCACCCACTTTCAATGTCAAGAGTCAAATGTGAAAAATAGATGATGTATAAATACCAGATCAGTTCTTATGTAAAAATATTATGATTACAAATACTTTTTCAACGAAATACTACAATAAAATTTAATTGTTTCTGGCTGATGTGAGCTTGCACTTTCAGTTTGCTTCTGAATTTATAAAATAAAATAAAAAATTAAATTTTAGTTTTATTTGGAATAATTACTTGAGAATAATAATTATGATTGGGTGGGATCCAAAATATTGCCTAACCTAATCCTAATCACTGTAAAAACCTAATAACCGGTTTTTACTTTAAAAATAAAAAACCGGTTATAACGGTAGGTTTTTCCTATCCCTATTTCCCAGTTTTTGTTGAAGTATTTTTTATAGAGATGTTGACTGTCAGAAATCTCTTTGATCGGTTCCCAAAATACATGAAATGTAATACCCTTTTCGCCTTTTCCTACCACTCATTACATCTTGTACACCACAATGTTCCCTGATGATGTTATTTCTTATTCTGTACATTCTTGTTTTCCTTAAAGCTGCTCTTAGTAGCTTCATTTTAGTTATACGTAGCACACTTTTGGTTTTATTCGTGTTTTTTCATGACTATTAAATAAGTCATTACGGGTATTATTCGCTCCGTGCGTGACCATGGTAGGGGTACATTGAAACGATGCCAGCGTGCGTAGCGGCGAAATATGACAAAATTGGAATATTGGACAAAATATTTTTACGCATAAATTTTATCAAAAATGTATGCAAATACATGTTGCGTATTTAATTGTGCTAATAATAGCAAAAACAGTCAGTGTAGTTTTCATAGGTTCCCAAAGATTACATATAAAGTAGAGAAAAGAAAAAAAATGAATTCGTGCTATTAATTCTTATGCAATTGAAATAGGAAATAATTTAAATAATTTACCTTGAATGATATTTGATAAGGCTTCAAGCTAACTGCAGATGACTTTAGCTTTTATATCATAACTTTTACCATTATTGTTTTTAATTATATGCTCTTTTGCGTGAAAAACTTGATTTGCCAGTACTAGATTTTTCCCTTTCTTTTCCGTTTGGAGTTGAAAAGATATATTATGATGAATTTTGAGAAACTAAGTTTTTAATACTACATTTATTTTGAACATAAACTGAAAAATATAGTTAAAAAACTAATTTATTAATAATTGTCAATTTCGCATGTATTTAACAATGTCAAACGTATGTCATATGTTTAACCTGAAAATTGGGACTCCAAAATTGTCAGATGAAGGCGGTAGGTGTCGCGTCAGTCACGCACGGAGCGAATACAGGTTTTATTAATTTTAACTTTGCTGTTCGCTCGCATGTATATAAATGGTTTTGCTATTAGAACAAAAATATTATTTTATTTGCATCTTCACAATATTTTTCAGAAAAATTGTTGAAGCAAACAGTTGAGCAATTGGAAAGACTGTGGGGGAAGTATATATTTAGACATAGAGATATTAGGATCTATGGTAATGATGGTAATAATAAACATTGATTTTGTAAAAACAAAATCTTTCCTGCTTACTTTTGTGGTGGCCAATCTTTTGTATTAATTCTTAAACTTCACTACCACTTTCTGTTCTATACTATAAAAAAATCTAACATACCTGCGAAACCCATCTCTTCGTCGGTTAGCTTTACTCCATCCTTTTTCATTTCAATTAAGAGTTCCAGAAAATCAGCCCTTTTGATATTGTTTGCTTCCCTGTACTCTATGGCGTCCTTAAAAAATTTAATGAAAAATTTCCGATGTATTCTTGGATTGGACTTATATTGAATGTTTTTGCTATGTTCGGATAGCAGATCGTAAGAAACAATTTAACTTGATCCCATAATGTAAATTTTCCAAATAGCTCATTGCCCAATCTTCGGATAATGGCACCTTCTGGCTTAAAGCTACCAGCTTCAATACCGTAGATAACATCTCCTAAAAAAATAAGGTTTGTTAATAGTCTCTAAATTTTGTACAGTGTTTACTGAGTAAAAAAGGAGTAGCCAAGACGTTGACCCCAAACGTTTTTCCCAATTTTTAATTCCAATATTTATTCTTACAATGATAAATATTGTTTTTGCAACGTATCCATATACCATGCCGTCCATATGTATGGAATAAATTCATTTTTAGCGTTATTAAGTACTATGTGAAAAAAACCTGCAACAGGTCGATTTTTATTCTTAAATTAACAATTTACAGTATTAAAATGTAATACTACTTCAGCACCCCTTTTGAATTATAAGCACCCCTTCAAAAATTTTAAATAACAAAGGGGGTCCTATGGCACCTTGTTAGAAAGGGATTTTAGTAATCTGTTCAGCAATATCAAATTTGGTGTAATAAAGTTTGGTGCAATCATAACTAAGAAAATTGATTTTTAAAATATAAAATTTTGATAATGTCTCTATCACAAAACTTTAGGTTGAATGAAGATAATAATGTCACATAATATTTATAATGTATTTTTCAATGTACTTTACGATTAAATTTAATTTTTAAAATACCCCTATTTACTTTTTAATAATACTCGAGGCGATTTTGGAATTCTCGTACAACATTTGTACGACTCCGGGAGTTATGTTGTTAATTTCTTCTATTATTCCAACATTTCAATCAGAAATACTGTTTTGTCTTTAAAATATACTTTAGATTTTAAATAACCCCATAAGAAGTAATCGAGAGGAGTAAAATCGGGGGATCTAGCCAGCCATTCTATCGTTCCACGTCTTCCAATCCACACATTGGATTGCCTTCAAAAAAATAAGGACCAATAATTTTATTGTTAATGATATTACTGCGTGTGAGTCTCACACACCCAGTGAGGATTTTATCTGCTACAATATCTACAGTTCTGTTTGTTTACCGTTTCGTTTAAAACGTCGCCTCATAAAAAAAAACTATTTTGTTTATGAACTGCAGAACTGCAAAACATTTTGTCCATTATCATTTCACAGAATTCTTCCCTTCTATCAGGATCATCTTTATTTTACTCCTGATCCAACTGAACTTTGTATGGATGGTATTTTTTTTATGTAAAACTCTTAAAATAGATGATTTACTTACATCATTGACAGTATCATTTCCCGATAAGTATTTTGGGGCTTTTTTATTTTAAAACATTTTTTAATCATTAATGAACCGCTTATGACAGGATGGGCGGTCAGGCTGCGGCTGGTATAAGAGAGAATAACAAGATCTAGGGCACAAATTTTTGCTGGTTTAAATTTTCATTGTACAAATGAGCGCCCGCCCTGCCGTATGCGCTTCGTTATAAAAAATAATGGTTTAATAGTTATTTATGAACCTAGGGTGTTATTAAGATGATTACGTCCAGAGAGTAACATAATCCAGTCAGAGGGCGTCTGACCTAAGGGATGGATGTTGCTAGATGGGCATAATCATCCAGTAGCAACAGTGCTACATACAAGATTTTATTTTATTTACACAACTAAAATTGAGACGTTTTTACGCTACTCAACCATTTTTCAGTAAGCTATTATGTTTGATAGCAAGGCAAACTTTTAAAAATGATAATAATGTATTAAATAATAATAGTTATTTTACTACTTATAATAATAATTAAATGTAGTAAATATTGATATGATCCGAAAATGTATGTAAAAAAAATTAATAGAGAAAAAGAAGAAGACACAAAAATTTTGTAAAATCATGTTATAGTTATTTTAATTTTAGATTTACGGTAAATTTCGGACTTTTCAAATTAGGATTTTATTTAAGATTAGTTTAAGTAAATAAAGTGTTATATTGAAATATCAAAGCTCCCTGCATTTTTTCAAGGATTAATTTTGGTTACCACGAAGCAAGTCATTAACGGTATAAGTAGAAAATAGAAAGTCTTTGTCTGATATTTTTGTACAAAATTTTGGGCATTGGAAAGTATTGGCATTTTTGGAGAATTGAGTAAAGAATTTTTTATTAGTCAACAGAAAATTATGGAAGGGATTGATTGATAGCCGAGAAGGATATTGGAAAAAAAGGTGATCGTCTTCTGTTTGGACGGGAAGGAGAAAATATCAAATTGACAAGTGTGCGTTTGTTTTTTTAAACGTGATATAAAAAATTAGTAAAAGTATAGATTTTGTGAACGTGGTAGTGTCAGTAAGTTTGGAAAGCTGATTTGACGAATGAAAAGGGTGCACAATTTGTAAGACCAATGCATTATTATTCCCGGAGAGATTCGTAGTTAAGCAGATAAGGGCAATCCCAAAAGAAAATAGAAACGTGAGTCAGGACGTTTGTTTTTGACCGATAGGACTGTTTTTATAAGCAGAACTAGGGAAGGAGTTTTTCGATAGAGAATCAATCATAATAAAGTGCAGAGAAAAATTTATTAAGACGATATAATATATTGGACTAATTTTTCTATTGTAATTTTTTATGTAAAAGCTATATGTTTTGCGAAACATTTATTTCTAAGGGATATTATTATTTGTATAAACAGTTCTAAAAAGGTTTATTTTACTATTATATTTTAATTGTCTTGCACAAATTTGAGTTTTTTTTTGTATTCCTTTTACTCCTCTTCTTATTAAACACTATTGAAGATAAAGGTATTTTTAAACTCTAATAGGAACTCTGATATAAGAAAACATATTAATTAATATTTAACTGGGAATAAGCCACAATTAAAAGTTAAAATACGTTTATTGACGTTTCAATTTCCACTTCGGAAATCGTGTGTATTTTGAGAACGATTTCCGAACGAGGTAGTGAATAATAATAGATGTTCTGATTGTTGGATACAATGTTTTGAGATTTAGCAAAAAATGGTGTTAAGTTATTTATATTAAAAGAAATAGAAATGAGCATCCTATGTATCATATCTGGAGGATAAGAGTTTTCAATTAAAATATTTTTTAACAATTAAATATCTTCTTGTAGATAGTCTGGATGAGAAAGTTTTAAAACACGTTCCTTTAATCCTGTTATAAGGTTCATTTTCATCTTATTTGGATGATGAGAGTAATAGCTTATAAATATATTACTACATATGGGTTTTCTGAACCATCTGGTTTTCAACATATTGTCTGTATTTCTTACAATTCTATATAATATATATTCTTATATTCTATATTCTACCTTTTATACCATCATTAACACCTAAATTAATACAAACACTAAAGGTTATTGACAATATAAAAATAGCAACAAAGAACATCATTTCATCTTTATATTCCAAAACTAAGTATCCTATAGACAAATTAGATAAAACAAATGTAGTATACAGCATTAGTTGTACTCAGTGTGAAGCAGAGTATGTTGGTGAGACCGAAAGAAATCTCTCAAATCGCATTATTTCTCAGAAAAGTGATTGCAGAATTAAGAAACCATCTTGTGCTTTGGCAGAGCATTTAATAGACAAAGACCATATTGTGGATTTTAATAATACTAAAATTTTATGTAGTGAAAGTAATGAATTTAAAAGAACTTTTTTGGAAATGGTTTGTATTAGCAAAAGTGATAATAATTTAAACAAAAGGTCAGAAATTCAAAATCTAAGCAAAATTTATAATTATATTATTTTTATGTAGTTTATAAAGGGTGGTCCTTAAGTAATTTTACAAAAAGAAACCACAGATTCTATACTTTAAAATATTACGATGTAAGCCAACTTACTTTAATAAAATGTTGATATTAAAAAAGATACAGGGTGTTGAAGTGGAAATTTAAAATTATATTTTTCGCTATAACTTTTATGTTTGTAAACATTTATATATAAAAATTTACATCTGGGTACTATTTAATATCAGGAATTATAATTTGATGAATACTTTGATATAGCTAATAGAGGGCGCCACATATGCCACATTTGTCGCATACATTTGCACTTTACTTTTTTGTTCTTTAAGTTACCGGTATTTTTGATAAAAAATATTAAAGATACATTATTTTAGCAAAAAAAGGTATACTTGCTAATTACTTCACGCAATTACTTCAGGCAATGAAAGAAAAATAGATAAGAAAAACCAATACTTCCGAATTTTGTTATAAAATACATCTAATAAAGTCAATAATTAACGAAATATTAAATAAAATAAATATATCAGCAGGATAATTAATAATAGGATCTGATAAAATAACAGAATAATTGGATTTTACATCAAACATTTTACGTCTTGTATTAAATTAAAGTCATAATCAAAACATTATATTTACAAACCAAATTAAGAAATAGTTAAACTAAATAACATTAACATTTTTGTTAAAGTAAGTGTTTGATACGTCCACCATTTTCTTTAATTCATTTGTCAATACATTCCATAAAATATCGTCTCATACTAAATAGCATCATTGGTTCTAAAGAAACTGCTGCAGTATTTATTATAGTTGTTTTAAGTATAATAATAAGTAATTTTTTGAAATTATTATGAATTAAATAATTATATTATTATCTCACCACGAGAATATGACTACAACGAACAATCCAACGTTCAGGAAAGTGTATTTAAATACTGCCTCATTCCGCTTTCTCTGTAATGTAATGGTGTACCATCTTGTAGAAACCACATATTTCGCCTTAAGCTTGATGACAATCCTTTTAATATATTAATAAAACCATTTTATAAAAAATGTAAATAAATCTTGTTATTCAAATTGCAAGGTAATTCGCATATCCGTAAAACATCATTCAAAATTCATATTTAAAATGCATGTCCTATGTTTTGTAACCATTGATAATTATTTTTTACGGATATGCGAATTACCTTGCAATTTGAATCACGAGATTTATTTACATTTTTTATAAAATGGTTTTATTGATATATTGGAAGAATTGTCATCAAATTTAAGCCAAAATATGTGGTTTCTACAGGATGGTAAACCATTACATTACAGAGAAAGCGTAGTGAGACAGTATTTAAATTTAACTTTCCTGAACGTTGGATTGTTCGTAGTAGTCATATTTTTGCGGTGAGATATTAATATAATTATTTAATTCATAAACATTTTAAAAAATGACTTAATATTATACTTATAACACTTATAATCAATACTCCAGCAATTTCTTTAGAACCAATGACGCTATTTAATATGATACGATATTTTATCGAATGTATTGACAAATGAATTAAAGAAAATGGTGGACATACTGAACACTTACTTTGGCAAAAAGTTTAATTTTATTTACTTTAACTATTTCTTAATTTGATTTATAAATAAAATGTTAGTTGATTTCTAAAATGCGATTATCTAGAAAACTGTTGAGTTTTGAAGATATTTACAATTATACCTTTTTTTTTTGTTAAAATAACGTATTTTTAATATTTTTTATTGAAAATACCAGCAGCTTAAAGAGCAAAACAGTTACGTGCAAATATATGCCACATATGTGGCATATGTGGCGCCCTCTATCAGCTACATCAAAGTATACATCAAATTATAATGTCTGATATTTAATAGTACCCAGTTGTAAATTTTTATACATAAATGTTGACAAACATAAAAGTTATAGCGAAAAATAAAATTTTAAATTTCCACTTTAACACCCTGTATCTTTCTTAATATCAACATTTTATTAAAGCAACTTGACTTAAATCGTAATATTTTAAAGTGTAGAATCTATGGTTTCTTTTTGTACAATTACTTAAGGACCACCCTGTATATGAAATCAGTAAAATATCACATTTTGATTTAATTTTCCATGTATTTGTTACATTTTTTCAGGCATCTAACAATGGTGAATAGATCTTCTTCTTTTTTGTTACTAAACAAAAAAGAATTTTTAAACAAAATTTTATTTTTGACAATATAATTGTCAAAGATAAAAATTTTTCGGTTGGTATTTATGACATTGAGGCTTATTTGTAACTATTCAATTTTATTTACAAATTCAATTGTTTTTGTTAAGAAACTTTTTCAAAATTAAAATTTTAGAGAAACATTTATTGGAATAGAACATTTTTGTATTAATATTTTTTGTAATATGTTAGCAGCATTTTTTTATACAAAACTATTTTTAGCAGCTCTTGATAATAATTGTAAACACAATTGAAAGCTCGAGTAAAAAATAGTAAATAAATAGTCCCTTTTATTGACTCCAATCCATCCAAAACAGTTTTATATTTTTTCCAAACGAGTCAGAAATACTTCTTCCTTCTATACTATATATATATATATATATATATATATATATAATATATATATATATATATATATATATATATATATATATTTATATATATATATATATATATATATGTAATGTAAAATGCTATAAAAAAATGTAGTGAAGTTAAATCTTGAAATGTAGTAGACGAAGGATATAATGAGTCTACTGTGCTATCAGATACTAAAAAAATGCAATATCGGTGAAAAATAAAACTTTTAATTAATTTTCAAATACTTGCTTTATTATAAGATACTTATTCATATTTAATTTATACTCATAGATTTTGCCATAATAAGAATTTCAATAATAAGAAAATATTATCTATAACCTAATTGCAGTTCTAGACGAAGCTCAACATCTTAAAGTTAACTTATAATGAAATTAATATTTATATTAAAAAATATTACTATTTACCTATAATATCAGTGGTGTAACATGCTATCATTTCAAATATATCCATGTCTTTATCATTATCAACAAATTGTTTCAAGCTAGTCCGCAGTTCTTCACTGGATTTTCTTAGAGTTTCAAAGAAGTATTTCATTTTTGCCGAAGTAAAAATGCTCGTAAATTTAGCCTAAAAGTAAAATATGCAGTCAAGGCCAGTTTCCAGCGCCTTAGATCTAATAGAATTTATCACACGTACACAAAAATCTGGTTTTCTAGTCAGAAAGTTGATCAGATGACTAGTAACCAAATATCGAGTACTTTGGTTACATAATTAGTAGAAATAAATTTACAAATAGTTTTAAAGTTTTGTTTTATTGCGTGGTATAGCGTGGTTTGTGAGATACCAAGTACAACAAGTAGTAGATTAAGTCAGATGAAAGATGATAATGTTGGGGGATTCTAACTCTCAAATAGAATAGCTGGGAATAATATATTCAAAAAAGAAAACATCGAGGAAAGCTGGGAAAAAACTCAAAAATAACATAATTGACGCAGCAATACAATCACTTGGAGAGAGGAAAGAAGCAAATACTAACATATCAAAAAAGAAAACTGTGACAAGCCTAAAACAATACAGAATGCAACAAAAACAACAGGCATACAACCATTATAATAGAAATATATACCGATGGAGCAGAGGATGGAGAAATACGAAAAAGGATAACGCAGGCAAACAAAGCTTATTTTGCCCTCTCCCATATATTTCGGTCTAAAAGTGTCCACCGAAATACAAAGATGAGAATATATAAAACTTTAATTCGGCCAATAGCATGTTATGGCAGCGAAGCATGGGTCCTGAAAGAAACATCCAAAAACAAACTCGACACATTCGAAAGAAAAGTACTAAGGAGAATACTAGGACCTGTGAGGGAAAACGGAATCTTCAGAATTCGATATAACAACGAGCTCTATCAACTGTATAAGGAAACACCCCTGTCAAACTTCATTAGAATACAAAGATTGCAATGGGCCGGACATGTGATACGAATGGGAGAGGATAGGCTACCAAAACGAGCACTGAACGCCAGAATGCAGGGAAAGAGACCAGTTGGAAAGCCAAGAAAGCGCTGGGAAGACACAGTAAGCAGCGACGCACAAGCACTTTTAGGAGTCCGTGTATGGAGAAGAGCAGCCACAGACAGACAAGGGTGGAGGCAAAAAATAAAGGAGGCCAAGGCTCATTTTGGGCTGTAGTGTCGTAGAAGAAGAATACAACCATTATAAACGAATCAGACATGAAACGAATACTTTAGGTTATTTACTTTTTTTTTACGTTACTCTTTTAGGAATACTTAACAAATAATAAAGAAGCACTGGCAGGAGGAGTTTCTCAAAACAGATGGAACACGACTTCTACGAAACACAAAAAAAATATGGAGAATAATCAGAGGACAAAGAAAATAAATGAATGAACTAATAAAAACGAAACATATTCAGAAGGAAACATCATTAACCTCACCAGAGTTGGAGTAATATAAAAAACAGAACTATGTCCTACAAAAACAAGAAAGAGAAGAAGACATAATCTATCACTATTAAACTATTTTCCTTTCGCACGATTTTCAGGTCAATTGTGATTGCATGTGTTCTTTTTTTCCCTGAACAATGGACAGTCAAGCATGATGTATTTTACCTTCATTAGAATAAAGAAGTTTTTTATATGTTAACAGTGGATCTTCTTTTAGTTAAAAATCTGTATGTTGTGTAATATTTGTGTGAGTTGTATTATCAGGGACAAATTCTTTAGTGGTTAAAAATGAAAAACTCTTCCGTTGGCCTTTTGTTTCTTCTTCTTTTTATGTAGACATGACTCTGTTTTTTTAAATGTGCCTCAATAAGTTGTCGTTTGATTGTTTTCGTGATCTTCCTACTATTTGACTTTCTATTAGAGAACCGTTTCTTGTCGTCTTTACTACTCTATTTATTTTCATTTGGCTTAGCTGACCATTCCGTGTTATTCTTCGATTTCTTACCCAGTCCTTAATGTTCTCCACAGTATATCTACATCGTACATCTGCACTTAGATCTCTGTCCCATAGCGTTTTAGCATCAATTTTTCTGTGTTTCCATCTCTGCTGTTTCTAACAACCTTTTTGTTCTCTCTGTATCAGGTTTTGTTTCTGCCACGTATGTCATTGTTGATCTGATGACTGTTATTTGAAATACAAGTAAATTGCCCTTCAGTCGCAATGTTTTTATTTTCTTACATTGTTTTATTCAGACAACCTGCGGTTTTGTTCAGTTTTAGCGATTGTTTTATTCTGTAACTGTAAACTTCCAATCTTATTTTTCTTTTTATTTGCAAGTCTTTGTTTATGCTTACTTTGGCTTTTGTAGCTGTTTAAGTTGTCTTAGTCCACCATGTCGTTACATAGGTAATTAAGGGTTTAGTTGTATAAACAGTGTACCATGTCCGTTATTAATCTCTGCGCTGTTTGTTATTTTTTCCTTTGCTGGTTACAGGTGCATTTCAAATATAGTATAACTCTAAAATACTTTACTTCTTCCTTTAGCTGAATTTATTATGTCTAAAGATTAAAAAATCTATCCCTCTAATCACTATATGTGTGAAAATGCGACATACTGACTTTATGCGGATTTATATTTAGTTTCTCTAAGTCCATTACCTCATTAGTTCTATTGCCCTCTTTATACGATCCCTGACTGTTGTATTCTACTTTGCTTGCAAAATCTTTACCAAATCATATGCATATATAAAATTGTTTTATGACTATTTACCTATAAATGTCTTTATTAGTCCGTCGATCAGAAGATTCTAGACACTGGTTTAGAACTAGAGACAATACTCCCACTTGTTTACATGCTCTGACGACCTAGACCAAGACGATCTCTCTAAGGATGGTAGTATTTACAACTAAGAATGTATTTTAGATAAACTTTTTCATTTCTTTACATTGTCCCTTTATTTTTGTGTCGAACTAAAGAGAGTTTGTATTTATTTTATGTATCTTTCTTGTTATAAGAACTTCCTTTGCTGAGCCTAATATATTTGAATAAGTTTTTATTAAGCTTTCTTTGACTACGTCAACATCTATGGTATATATGTTTATATTTCGTTGTCTTGTAGTATGTATATATATATATATATATATTATATATATATACCCGGTATTTAGGCGGCACACGCCCTTCTGGTAGGGATCTATGGAGGAGTATCACCGAACCACAAGCCCTTATCTCTTGACGTACTGCTCCACCATAGGCTGATCAGATACCAGCATATTCTAGACTAAGCCGCAGATTCATTTAGAATTTTAAACTGCCGCGTTAGCCTTTTTGTTTTCTGTACACCGAGCTGTCTTGTAGTTTTGTTGTAAAAAGTAAATAGGATAAAAAATTTAAGTGAAAAATGAAAGCAAATAACTCAAATGAAAGATGAACTGGTTAGTTAATTCGACCTATAAAACCCGTTTAAACATTCGGCATAGAGGTACGGATTTGTAGTAAGTCATAAAACATTTAAATATTGCAGAGATTTCATTGACGACGATGGTCTTAATATTATGTTAATACAAATTTAACGTAACAAATTAACAAACAATTTCAGAAGACGAGGTCCACACTGGACATTAGATACCTTGGAAATCATCTCGGTAATATTTCGGTTTAACAATTGAGAAAACTTCCCGGGTAATGGCTTTTGACTAATTTTGAAATAAAATATCATAAATCTCTAGGACATGACGTCCACACTGGGCTCTAGGTATGTCTTGGCTGTCATAATATTTGTGTTCATCGACCTCGAAAATTCCCGAGTAATGACTTTTGACTGATTTGGAATAGAAATAATATAAAACTCCAGGAGACAAGGTCCATCCTGAGCAACAGGTAGTTCTAGAACAATCATCGTTATCATATTTGTATTCAGCGATCTTCAAAACCAAAATAAGGCGCCTTAATATTGAACTCCTCAAAAATCCGCAAACAGTAGAAAGGTTTCAAAACTATATCGAAACTAAGTACATAACTAAAGAGAATCTAACAATTAGTGAACAATGGGAAATGTGTAAAAATTATATTAAAGACGCAGCATTCTAGAATCTTCAGCAAAGAAGAACTCGAGAAAAAGAACAAAAATATAAAGATCTCAGAAGAGAAGAGAAGTACATCCATCGGACAAAAAAGCGAACTTATGAAAATAAAATATTGGAACAACTTGAGGCAATAAAAAAGGAAAATCAAACAAGAAAATTCTATACAAATCTGAATAATGCAAGAAAAGAATTTAAACCAAGGATCGGATTATGTAAGGATAAGGTGGGCATATACACAATACTAAAGAAAAAGTATTGAAAAGGTGGATGGAACACTGTAAAGAACTACTTACTATCGAAGTAGAAGATCCAAATCAACCACTCCCAGAAGTAAGCAACAATACACCATTGGAGCCTCCATCGATTCAAGAAGTGCGGGATGCAATAAAACACCCAAAGCATAATAAATCTCCAGGAAGTAATGGCATACTCGCGGAACTTATTAAATTTGGAGGTACTACTCTGACTAACCATATAAAATCATACTGAGAGCCTGGAATGAGGAACAAATCCCGGAAGAGTGGTGTATTGGGATCGTTTGCCCGCTAGACAAAAAGGGTGATTAATTGGAATGTAGAAACTATAGGAGAGTAACCCTCCTTAATACAGCATACAAAATATTTTTGAGTATTCTATATAACATAGCTCTGGAAAAGGTGGTCAATGATGCCCAAATAGGCAGCAGCGGAAACATTTTTATTAAATCATCCCAAATTTTGGCATATGCAGATAATGTTGACCTAGTTGCCCATACAACATGCAAACTAGAGAAATGTATACCACCTTGTTAAATGCCTTAAAAAATATGGACCTGTAAGTAAATGAGGAGAAAACTAAGATATTGGCATCAACGCCCAACAATAGAGCCAGAAACATCGGCCACCAATTTACTGTTGATAACTCTGCCTTTGAAGTGGTGGACAAATTCACATACTTAGGCTCCCTGATCACCAAGGAGAACGTCATGACGGAAGAAATCGAGCGAAGAATAATCCTAGCAAACAAATGCTATTTTGGATTGAGTAGACATATGAGAAGC